GGCGGCCAGGCAGCAGAGGGCGAGCCAGAGGGGGGCCATCGTGCGCATCGCTCCGGGCATTCTTGCTGGCTCGGGGTTGGGTTGCTGCCTTCGCCGCCGACTCCGGCCCTTTTATACCCGAGCCTCGGTCGAGTCGCCGCCTCTCCGGAGCGCAGGACCCGCCCCGGCAGCCTCCCCGCCTCCCGCCGGACGGGACGGGCCCGGAGCAGCGTCGTTGGGGGGTGCCGCGCCCCTTCCTCCCTCCCTCCTCCCCTCCTGGGCGCCCCCGAATCCGCTTACAGGGCAAGAAAAGAGAAGAGAAACCCCCCCCCCGCCTTGGTTGCCACATCGCAGCGGGCGATTGCCCAACCCGGGGGGGGTGAGGTAGCAGGATCACGAGTAAAGCCGGCTCCAGCTGATGGATCGAGAGCCCCCCCCCGTCCTTTACCTCGCCCCCTTGCTTCGGGGGGGGGGCTTGGGAGCCCCTCGAAGCCCCTTCCCCTCCCTGCCGCCCCCCGCCCCAAGCCCCGTGGCTCCGATCACGCCCCGCGAGGGCTCGGCCGTTGGAAAGCGCGATCCGGCGCCAGGTTGCCAGCGTGGGCAGTGATCGCCCCCCCGGCAGAAGTGGAGCCAGAGAAGATGGACAAGGTGGCGGTGGGGAGGGGGTCTTTGGCCGCAAGAGCTGCCCCTGGCCCGGGCTCCCTCTGAGGGGGGCAACCCCCAAATTGTCAAGTGTGGAAGAGATCTGTTTCTCCCTCCCACTGCGGCGGCCTCTCGGGATCTATTGGATTACCAAGACCTGTTTTCAACCAGATTAACAGTAGCCTACAGTTTGCTGGGCTGCAGGTGCCCCTTAAACTCTGGAAATAAGCCCCCCCCCTCTCTCCCCCTGGCTAAGGGTGCAGGAAACGGGGTGCAGAATCTAATGGGCTACCTGCTCCAGGCTATGTTTTCTATAATAATAGACCAGTAGAAATCTCTTTACAAGGTAGATGCCGAGTAACAAAATTACTCCTTTTGAGTGCCAGCCCCCCCCCCAGGCATCATTTTGGGGCCTCAGTCGGTGTTTTACTCCTGGGGTGCCCTGGAGCAAAGTCTTACTCTTTCCTTGGCAACATTTTTAGAATTGGCGTGCCAGGCTGAAAAAATTCTAGGGGAAAGAAAAGTGGGGTCATGGGCCTCTCCAGATGTTTTAGTTTTGAAATGCTGTCAGCTGAAACCACAGACACTTGCTCAACCTGGTGGGTTTTGTCCTCCCCCCCCTGAACCCTGACACCCCCCCCAACCGGTGGGCCTTTGCCGGAGAGCATGTGCGACATGTGTGGGCTACCGGAGACCTGTGACCACAAAGTCAGAAGGGCCGGATTCAGCAGATCCAAAGCCACCTCTGGGGAAACTGCCCGCCCCCTCGGGGACCCCAAATGCTGAAGGCTCCTACACCCCCGTTAGAGACAGGGAGGGGCCCCTCTGGCCAGCTCCACCGGCCCCCGAAACCTCACAGCCAACTTTACAGACCAAAATGGTTTCAACAGGGATTAGACTGACAGCAAAACAGGGTGACGTATTTTGGCAACTCGTAGTCACGTATTTTTGTGATTTGTAATAGCTTGACGGGGTTAAAAGCAAACAAACATCCACTGTGACTGTGGGAAAGTATCCAGCTCTTGACTTTCTCTCTGAATTTAAGAGGGTGAAAATTTGGGAAGGGTTGGAGAAGTACCTGGAAGTCACGGTGAGACATAAGTAAGGAAACAGAGAGGTAATTTTACCCGTCCAGTGTTGCAACAGTCCCACTGTATTTAATTAAGAGTCTTAAGACTGGAGTGATGAGCATGGATTTCTCACTGCCCTTAGGATTTGGTTTTATAGAAGACGGAGGCGCAGTTTGGGGGTGAACTTTCACTGAAGACCCCGGCAGGAGACAGACACCCGTCTCTGGGACCTCCAAAAACTAGTCAAAAATCTTGAAAAAAAATAACTCTTGGTGGACAAGTGGCCTGGAGCAAGCAGCAGCCCTCTTTTTCTTCTTTTTTTTTTCTTCTTCTTCTTCTTCTTCTTCTTCTTCTTCTTCTTCTTCTTCTTCTTCTTCTTCTTCTTCTTCTTCTTCTTCTTCTTCTTCTTCTTCTTCTTCTTCTTCTTCTTCTCCTTCTCCTTCTCCTTCTCCTCCTCCTCCTCCTCCTCCTCCTCCTCTCCTTCTCCTTCTCCTTCTCCTCTTCTTCTTCTTCTTCTTCTTCTTCTTCTTCTTCTTCTTCTTCTTCTTCTTCTTCTTCTTCTTCTTCTTCTTCTTCTTCTTCTTCTTTACAAAAGGGAGATTAAAATCAGCATTTCAGGAAAAGAATTGTTCACTTCTTTGTGTATTGTTTAGAGAGTCCAGCCAAAGCCACAGCTCAGTAGGGAAGCAATCTTTTTGGCAAAACCTCAGTATCCCTTACATGTAGGTCAGCGGGGTGGAAAAAACGGATTCTGCACATGCTCAGAGATGAAAGCTTTTAAAGCAGGGGTCCTCAACCTTGGCAACTTTAAGAGTTGTGGACTTCAACTCCCAGAATTCCTCAGCCAGCAAAGCTTAAAAAGTTGCCAAGGTTGAGGACCCCTGTTTTAAAGCCTTCCTCCACGCAAATTCTGAGACCCTGCAGAATTCGCCAGAATTCGCCCAGGAGCCTGGTGGCTTTCTCTGGGCCCAACAGGGCATTCCTTCGGACTACAACTCCCATCTACCTTTTCTGTGGATCTGGAGCCAGGTTATCTCTGAATTCAGCAGGCAGAGAGTCTCAAGGGAGCACCTAGCCAAAAGGCAGATGGAAAGGGGGCCACCCCGGGGGATTTCAAACGCAAATGGGAATTGGTGACCCTTAAAAAGCACTTTTTGGGGGAGGGGTGTGTGTGAGAAGCCTCTTGTTTTTAAAAACAACCCCTCCTGTTTGGTTTCATTTCATTTTCCTGCCTTGTCCACTGAATTCTCAAGCCAGGCCGTTGTAAGTCAAAATTCCTGGTTTTTCCCCTCTCTTTTGGACTCTTTCCAATCAAGAGCCCTTCGGGAGCTCCGGATTAAGAGGGGGGGGGGGCAGGCAGCCTTTTTGGGCGAGCTGCCCTGTGGCTGGAGGGGATCTTGGGTGGCTGAGCGTTAAGCCACACAAACCACAACTTGTTTTGCACATCACCCTGTTTTGCTTTGTTTGGCCCAGGGTTACACGTGAGCACAAGCCACAGAGTGCCCAACATCCCCAGACTGCCTGCTGGTTCCCCCGGGCACAGGCCCCGGCTGGGAGCACCCCTGACAGTGAAGCCCACCTCCCCAATTTGCTATGTGACACAGAGAATCTCCTCCCTTCCCCAGGTGGGGTTTATTTTTTTTTATTTTTTTTTGCAGGATGCCCTTAAAAAGCAGCATTTCCAATGTCTTCCCCTCCTCTTTATTCCGAGACAGACCATCAACTGAAATTACCTCCCCAAAGCCTTGCTTGAAACTCTCTGGATTCCTCCATGGAGGGGTCAGTTTTACAGCCAGCCTGGGGGGGGGAGGGAGGGTCCTTCCCTCTTGGCCCTGGGCACACCACCACTCAAGGGGCAGCGGCTGTTGAGTGGAGAGGGCAGTTTGGGGGTCACCTTGTCTCAGGTCAAGGCTGCCATCTCAGCAGACCCAGCTTGGCTCATTCAAGGCCAGCCTGGAATCTTCCCGTGTCCTAAGTGGCTCAAGGGGGGAGGGGGGGCTCTGTGGGGCCAGGGCCTTGATGCCATCTGCCCGCTGAGACCCCAGCAGGCCTCCCCCTTCTCTGGACACCTTCTCTGGACACCAGGGCTGTGGGGCGGAATGGCCGTCCCCAGCGTCCCCGAAGCTGGCTGTCCTGGCACCCTTCTGGGTCAAGCGCCCTCACCTGACCCTAGGCTGGAGAACAGTCTACCAGGAATGTCCCCAGGCCACCGCACGCTTCTGCCGGCGCAAATACCAGCCCTTCGGCTGGCCAGAGCGTATTGGGGAAATCAAGGCCACCTGCCTCTCGTCGTCGGGTGTCAAAGGAACGCCGCGGGGCCTGGAGGAGCAGAAGCCCCACCTCATGTTCCAAGAAGCGGGTGTCGTAATGAGCCGCAGAGGCTCAAGATAGCTCAGCACCTCCGTGCCAGGATGAGTAACGCAGCAGCGCAGGAAGGAACAAAGCCGTCATTGTCCCAAACCCCTCGGTGGGTTTCGGACGTGCAGCACAGGCCAGGCCTGGCAAGGAAAGGTCCGTGCCCTCCTCCCGTCCCCCCCCCAGTCCTGCCACTTAAAATTCTGCCAGGGAAGCCCTGGGGGAAGAAGGGCCAGCCATAAGGAGGAAGGCCTGCTTTGAAAGGGGAGGGAGGGAGAAAAAGAGAAAGTTGGAAGGAAGGAAGGAAAGAAGGAAGGAAGGAACGGCTTTCTCAGACAAGTGGAATTTTCAAGAGCCTGGTCCTCATTGTTTTTTTTAGAAGGAAGCCACTCGCAGGGGGGCAGGTGAGTGCGTGGGTGTCGGGGCCGCTTGCACAAGGGAGCCCCGCCCGAGCCCCCCCCCAGCAATGAGGGGAGGGCCGGGTTGCAACAGGCTTCCCAGTCACTTTTCGCTCACATGAGTCTCCTGCCTCCCCGGAGAGCAGCCGGGCGGTGGGGGAAGCAGTTATGAAAGACAAATATTGCGCAGCCACATCGGCTCCTTGAGAAACAAGTGGCGAGTCATGGAAAGCCCCCCACCCCATCCTGAAGGGCCCCCTCCCCAAGAGAGAGAGACGGGCAAAGGTGGCACCTCCCTTCCTGCCAGGGAGAAGGGGGGGGAACGTGGAACGGAGACGCGCTGGGCACCAGGTGAGGGCCTTGGCCCCGGGGACCCCGCCTCTCCGCTCGGCCTGGGACATTTGGGGCAGCCCCTCTTCCAAGGAGGGGTCACAGGGGGGGGTCTGGCTTCCCTGCACGAGGTCCCCAAGCGGGAACCGGCTGCCAGGCGAGCGGCCTCTGCCCGGCTCAGTGGGCGAAGGGCCGGCCTAACCCTGCACCCCGGGCAAGCTGGGGACCGACAGTCCCACCATCAGCTATTCAGCAGGCAGGGGGACCCCAAACTCCGCAGCCTCCTGAGCGTGGGCAGAGCGCTGGGTTTCAGCCCTCCATGCCCAAAGGACTAGCAGCGGGTCCCACCCCCCACCACCATTAAGGAAGCAAATTAAACCGGCAGAGATTGAAGAGGGTTTATTTCATTCTCCTACATGCCAACCAGGCTTTTTTCCAGACTGCAAGCGAAAGTGCTTTGCCCCACGGAGGGTTAGGGAGCCCTGAGGGAGGGGCTGCAACCGCCCCCCCTTCCAGCACCCCCAGTCTCTGCTCAGGCCTGGGGGGCTGTTTTGAGCCTCCGGAGCGAAGGAAAAGGGGCCCCCCTTTCCGCCGGTCTTTGAGCGGGACCGGCTCGGCCCTGACCTGACAGAGTCACCTCTGATGGCCCAACTCTTTTGGGGAGCCTGGAGAAGCCACCACGTCACCCTCCGGATGGGCCGGCACGTTCCTGTTCCAGGAAGCAGAGCCCTCCCCGCACACGCAGGTAGACTGCCTCAGAGCGTGGAGGCTCGGTTTCACACCCAGGTGTGCCACGCATTTTCCAGAAGGAAGCTCAAATTGCACCACCGGGCCCCTCCCCAGCCTCTCCCCTCTGCATTAGGGAAGAGTTTCCAGCTCTTAAATGAAGGGGGGGGGAGAGCTTCTGAGTCAGGTGGGGGAAGGACACCCTCCCCCCCCCCGAGCTTCCCCTGCGTCACTTCTTGGACATCCGGGGCTCAGCCCTTATCAGCAGGTGCATCAAAGCATCCCCAGGAGGGGGGGGAGGGGGGTCTCCAGAGCTCACCTGTAACTTGACCTTTTGCTGGTCAGGAAAGGCTTTTTCGCCCCCTCCCCCACAGGACACCCACGCAGCATGCCTCCGGGAAAAGGCGCTGAACCGGGCGGGCAGGTGGGGAGGGCCGGGCCCAGCCCCGGGTCCCAGAGCTCCTGAGATCCTCCAGAGGGCTGCCGGGCTCGGCCTTGTGCAGGTGACCCAGCCCAGGTGGCGCCAGGTGCTCCAGGAAGCTGCGCTGCCCTCCGAGGGAGGGAGGGGGGGCTCCTCCAGAGCAGCCAGCAAAGAGGGAGGGCAGGCGTCCGATGGTGGGAGATCCTGCTTCTCAGCCTTGACGCTCCTTGGCGAGGACTAGGTCCTTGAAACACTGCACGGAAGCCTCAGAGGACCGCCCCCCTGGGCACACCAGCCACGCCGACCCTGCAGGAGCCGCCTTTGGCTCAAAAGAGCTCCTCCGCGTTCCTGACCCGGGTCTCCTGGAGCTGCCGCAG